TGAGACTCTGTCTCAAAGAATATATACATATAGAAAAGGTCGTCCAGTGCAGTGGTACCTGCCTGTCGTTCCAGCTACTCAGGAGGCCATGGCAGGAAGATTGCTTGAGCCCAGGAGTTGAGGGTGTAGTGAATTATGATGACATCACTATACTCTAACTGGGGTGGCAGAGAAAGACTTTGTCTCTAAAAAAAAATAATGTTGCTTTGAACATTTGTGTCCCAAGTTTTTGCATACATATGTAATCCAAGTTTCTATGTGTGTGTGTATCTCTCTCCCTCTCTTTCTCTCCCACTATCTATCTAGCTATCTGAGTGGGAATTGCTTGCCATGAGGTGACTATGGCTGGGCCATAGAGTTAAACTATGTTTAACCCCTCGAGGAACTGCCAAACTGTTTTCCAAAGTGGCTGCACCATTTTATAATCCCACAAGCAGCGAATGAAGGTTCCAGTATCTCCATAGCCTCCCCAGTGTTTTTACTGTGTCTTCTTGATTGTAGCCATCCTAGTAGGTATGAAATGGTATTTCATGTAATCAGTCCTGCCATGTTGACCTGCCCCTTTCCATGCCTCCAGCAAACCTTATCAGGGTTTCTTTCCCTCTTTATTTGGCTGCTCTCAGGCTTCTCTTTTATCAGCTACCTCATATATAAAAGAGCAGCAGATATGATGAGCCACTCTGTAAAAACCAGAGCACTCCTTCAGTGCCATCAGCCAGGCTCGTCCTTATTTTTCTAGCAACACATGAAAGTAAAGAGCCTGGAGGATGCAGAAAAGAATCCCAAAGCCATTGATATGTGGATTGAGAGCATCTCTGAGTTACACCGTTCTAAGCCCCCTGCAACTGTGCACTACACCAGGTAAGAGATGCCATGTTCTTTACAACAGTCATCTATAGCAACTTTCACCACTTGTGAACCATTGCTTTTAAGAAGAGGCCCAGAGGCTCCACGCCCATAGCACAGTGGTTACAGCTCCAGCCACATACACCAAGGCTGGTGGGTTGGAACCTGGCCTGGGCCTGCTAAACAACAATAACAAATACAACAAAAAAATATCCAGACATTGTGGCAGGTGCCTGTAGTCCCAGCCACTTGGGGGGATAAGGCAAGAGAATCACTTAAACCCAGGAGTTTGAGTTTGCTGTGAGCTGTGATGCCACGGCGTTCTACCAAGGGCGACATAGTGAGACTGTTTCAGGGAAAAAAGGTCCAGAGACTAGGGACATATTTGGTCAACCTGGGGCTGTTGGCTTAGATTGCTGACATGTGACATAAAGATTGTGATTTCTACCGTTCAATAAAAAAAAGAAAAAAAAATTAAAAAAAAAAAAAAAAGATTGTGATTTCTCTGCTATCATTCTTGTGCCAGCTGTTCCAAACCCCAGGTCTTGAGTAAGTTTGGGTTGCTCAGTTGAGGTTTTCCTGAAATCTTTTTTTTTTTTTTTTGAGACAGAGTCTCACTATGTCGCCTCTGGTAGAGTGCCATGGCGTCATAGTTCATAGCAACCTCCAGCTCTTGGGCTGAAGTGATTGTCTTGTCTCAACCTCCCAATTAGCTGGGACTATAGGTACAACACCCAGCTATTGTTTTGTTATAGTTGACATTGTTTTTTTAGCAGGCCCAGGCTGGGTTTGAACCCACCAGCCCTGGTGTATGTGGCCGGCGCCCTAACCACTGAGCTGTGGGCACTGAGCCAGATTTTCCTGAAAGTTTAATATGCCACATTGAGGGCCTCTCCTTCATCCTAGAATATCCTGGTCCAGAGGCTGGTGATGTTACTAGTCCATGTTTCTCATTCATATTTACCTCTGTACTTTCAGGCCCATGCCGGACATTGACACGCTGATGCAGGAATGGTCTCCAGAGTTTGAAGAACTTTTGGGCAAGGTGAGTAGAAGGTAGCAAAGGGAAGAAAATATCACATTCATTGTAGGGCTTGGTGGTTTCTCTCTCTAGATCATCATCATCATCATCATCATCATTAGCAGCAGCTTTTTAATGGTAACACATGAAACCCCTGTGTGTGCATATGTGGAAATTTGGTATATATGACAAGTGGTTGGTGTCTGTAATCCTAGCACTCTGGGAGGCCAAGGTGGGTGGATTGCCCGAGCTCAGGGGTTAAGAGACCAGCCTGAGCAAGAGCAAGACCCCCATCTCTACTAAAAATAGAAAAACTAGCTGGGCATTGTAGCATGCATCCATAGTCCTAGCTACTCAGGAGGCTGAGGCAAGGGAATTACTTGAGCCCAAGAGACTGACGTTGTTGTGAGCTGGACACCATGGCACTCTACTTAGGGTGACAGAATAAGACTCTGTCACACACACACACAAAAGATAGGTAGTTGTTTAAGTGATTGGCAACAGAATGAGGTTATGATGAGACAGCCATCCATTTGAAAAAAATTAGGTCTTTGCTTTAACCATATACATACATAAATTTTAAATGAATTAAAGAGTTGATGCAAAAATAGCTATTCACGTAACATTATATAACAAAATATGGGAGAAACTAGGATGTTCAGGTGTTTCTCAGCATTAGCCATAATGGGCAAAATGTGATAGGTTAGACTCAAAAATACAAGGCTCTAAGTACCAAAAGATACGGTAAGCAAAGTTAAAAGACAATGGCAGTCCAAGAAAATTATTTTATGTATATATTAGACAAAGTTACTATGCATGCAGAGAGCTCCTACATGTCAAAAGAAAAGGAAACCGAACAAAGATGATTAACAGGTCCTTCCTGGTCATCGGAGTTTGAGACCAGCCTGAGCTACAGCTTTAAAACACTGGAAAGGCCGGCTAAGGCGCCAGCCACGTACACCTAAGGTGGCGGGTTCGAATCCCCAGCCCGGACCCGCCAAACAACAATGACGGCTGCAACCAAAAAATAGCCGGGCGTTGTGGCGGGCGCCTGTAGTCCCAGCTACTTGGGAGGCGGAGGCAGGAGACTCGCTTGAGCCCAGGAGTTGGAGGTTGCTGTGAGCTGTAATGCCACAGCACTCTACCCAGGGGGACAGCTTGAGGCTCTGTCTCAAAAAAAAAAAAAAAAAAAAAAAACACTGGAAAGGGCCTGCCGCAGTGGCTGCCACCCATAATCCTAGCTCACTGGGAAGGTGAAGTGGGTGGATTACTTGAGCTCAGGAATTTGAGACCATCTTGAGCAAGAGTGAGACCCCATCTCTACTAAAAATAGAAAAATGAGCCAGGTCTTGTGGCAGGTACCTATCATCCCAGCTACTGGAGAGGCTGAGGCAAGTGGATTACTTGAGCCAAAAAAGTTTGAGGTTGCTGTAAGCTATGATGCCACAGCCCTCTACTAAGGGTGACAAATCAAGACTCTGTCTCAATAAATAAAATTGTTATACTAGTTGCCCAATATACCCTCTACTTTCCCTAATTTTTCTCTATAACTTATCTTCAAACCTACTATAGACCTTATAGTGACATGAAGACAAAGGTTTTTTAATGTGTATTATTTAGGAATTGACTGCAAAGAATGTAGAAACATTTTCTTTCCTTCCAGCATTTTATTTATTCTTTTTTTTTTTTTTTTAGACAGAGTCTCACTCTATCATCCTGGGTAGAATGCAACTTCAAACTCCTAGGTTCAAGTGATCCTCCTGCCTCAGTTCCCTGGTAGCTGGGACTACAGGTGCCTGCCACAGTGCCTGGCTCATTTTTCTATTTTTAGTGGAGATAGGTTCTCACTCTTGCTCAAGCTGGACTTGAACTCCTGAGCTCAAGCAATCCACCCACTTCAGCCACCCAACGTGCTAGGATTATGGGTGTCAGCCACTGCCCCCAGCCCCCTTCTAGCGTTTCAAAACTAGCTGAGAGAAAATATCTGATTAGGGGTGAATGGCTAGATTGTAGTATATCCACTCAGTGAAATACTATGTTATGGCACATTACTTGGCCTTGTTTTGTTCTAATATGAAAAAATAGTAATGACATATTGTTAAATGGAAAAAGCAAAATTGCAGAACTATAAGTGCTCTGTATTTTGTAAAAAGAGACAAAGTTTTAAGACCCCAGTGGTTTTTAAACTTACAGTATGACTTGTTTAAATCAGACCCTATCATCTGAGTGGGATGTCATGTCCATCTTCTCTGTTCCTGCGGTGGCCTTATGGGTGACACCCATAATCCTAGCTCCTGTGGTGGCCTGGGACCATTAGGCTTTACACCACCAGCTATATAAATACTTAGCCATCACCTGGGACCAGGTTCTTCTTTACAGATCTACACAGGAAGACAACACGGCAGCACATTTTACTTATAAAATCTTTTGGTCCTTCTAGATCATCCACCACTGTGTTATAATAAGTATGGCTGATTTCATCTTACTGATCGGGGGTGGGGAGAAGCAAGATGAAGCTGTTGGCAAGGTTGATGTCTTCTGAGGTCTCTTAGTCTTCTCTCTGTGTCTTCACATGGCCTTCCATCTGTGTCTGTGTCCTAGTCTCCTCTTCCATGTAAGGACATCAGGACATCAGTCATGTTAAATACAGCCCACCCTAATGACCTCATTCTAATTTTTATATATATATTGACCTTATTTCCTTAGTACCATCACATTTCAAAGTATAGAAGGTTAGGATTGAATATGAATTTTGGGTGAGCACTACTCAGCCTGTACCACGTATCGTATGCTAGGAGCACTTTTCCTTCAGAGAGAGAGAGAGTGGTGCTAGGACCACTGAAATATCATCAGCTTTTTGACTTTGATCCATTCCATGCCCATTCCAGGTGAGCCTGCCCACAGCAGAGATTGACTGCAGCCTGGCGGAATACATTGACATGATCTGTGGTAAGCTCCTCTGTCCTTCCCTTGTCCCTGATAGAGCCACTAGATGGGGCACGCGCCAGGCTTTTGAAAACACTGGGTCTGGGAGGGGATTGGTTATCCTAAACAGAAATGCCCCATAATTCCAGAGTTTGTTTCCTTCTGTTCCTGGGAGTTTTTTCTTTATTTCAGCCATCCTCGACATCCCTGTCTACAAGAGTCGGATCCAGTCCCTCCACCTGCTTTTTTCCCTCTACTCGGAATTCAAGAACTCACAGGTGCGGCAAGCGTCAAGGCTTGGTTTAGGCCTTAGTGAGGAGCACTGCAGACTCCACTGTTCTGAGCCTGCTGTGATCATGTCCTATGGCAATGGACATAGGTGTCTCTGCCCGGAATTACCTTTGCCCTTCCCCATAATTATGAAGCAGAAAAGGAGGCTGTGGGGCTTTCAAAGGAAGGGTATATAGTAGAAAAGTGTTGGGCCTTAGATGAAGCTAAGTACGAATGAACAGATACCTGTAATTTTAGTAGAGAATGAAGAAAGTAGGGCACATCTCTAGCTGATTCTCAAAGATAGCACCAAGAAATTATTTGGGAAAGGAGAATTGGGAGAAAATTGGAGCCTGAAGGGTTTTTTTTTTTTTTTTCTTAAGAGATAGAGTTTCATTTTGTCACCCTCGGTAGAGGGCTGTGGTATCATAGCTCACAGCAACCTCTGACTCCTGGTCTTAGGCGATTCTCTTGCTTCAGCCTCCCAAGTAGCTGGGACCACAGGTGCCCGCTACAATGCCCAGCTATTTTTTTTTTTCAATTGCTTGGCTGGGGCTGGGTTTGAACCCGCCACCCTTGGTATATGGGGCCAGCACCCTACTCACCGAACCACAGGCGCCACCCAAGCTTAAAGGGTTTTAAAGAAGGTAGTTCTTGCTGTAAGATGTAGCAACTAGCATATTCTCAACACTCAGCATTCCCTCTCCTCTTCCCTTGCAGCATTTTAAAGCTCTTGCTGAAGGCAAGAAAGCCTTCACCCCTCCATCCAACTCCGCCTCCCAAGCTGGCGACGCAGAGACATTAACCTTCAGCTGAGACACCTCCCACACCACCCTGTTTGAAGGCTGAACCGGCTCTTCTACTCCAGCTGAGACAGAGACGTCATTGTCAGCCACCTGGTGTCCTTGCCTATGCAACAGCATGGCTCAGGGGCCAGCACATGTCCTGCTACCCTCCCTGCCAGAGAGCACTGCACAGGTTTGTTAAACAGCTCTACTTAGCTCAGATTGCCTTCCCAGGGGAGTTACACATCTGTGCCCCTGTGGGCATTTGAATGAGAAGAATTGGAATTTCTGAGATTTCATGGAGCTCAGTTTGGAAGAAAAGCTTAATGATGACCTTTTTGGGAAAGAGATGGAATTACTTTCTTTCATTCTTAAAGTTGTTGGGCAAAAATTTTATAAATAAAATGCTCTATTGTCAGATTATCCTGCTGTTCTATAAAATGAAAGAGAAAAGGCTGACTGAACATAAGGCAGAAACAAGGAACTTGGCTTAGCAACAGGCATTAAGTGAATACTTGAAGCAAACCAGCTGGTGAGATAAAATAAAACCCCAGTCCTACATGAGTGTCAGGAGAGAGGAATCATTTTTCTCCTGGAATTTAAGTTTTCCTTTTTTTTTTGAGACAGTCTCACTCTGTTGCCCTGGGTAAAATGCTGTGGCATCATAGCTCACAGCAACCTCAAACTCTTGGGCTCAAGCAATGCTCTTGCCTCAGCCTCCCTAGTAGCTGAGACTATAGGTGACACCACAACACCTGGCTTGTTTTTCTATTTTTAATATAGACAGGGATCTCGCTCTTGTTCAGGCTGGTCTCCAACTCCTGAGCTTGAGCAATCCACCTACCTCAGCCTCTCAGAGTGCTGGGCTTACAGGTGTGAGCCACCACGCCCAGCCTCTTACAAATCCTTAAACCAACTAAGATCACCTCATGCTTTAGTTTGAGGAGCAGGCACATCTGAGCTCAAGCCTCAGTTCAATGCTATGTCAAGTCCTCATGTCTCCTCTCAAATGGGTACCAATATTGTTCATATTTAACTCAGAATGAAGGGAGGCAAAATTTGATAGGAATTCACATGTTCCATTAGGTTTTCAGGAAACAATCAGTTGCCTCCTTGGGTAGAGCTGAGATGCAATAGTAATAAATACATTCAGTTCTCATTATTCGTGGTGGTTATGCTCTATAAAGTCACTGCAAACAAGGAATTGGTAAATACTGAACCTTAGTGCCATTTGGTTCTATCAACCGACCACTGATTCACTCAACTTACAGCCGACAGCACTGTAATTCATGTCTCACTGAAGCTTATCTAACACATTCTCTTGGAAGGAACATTACAGCCCTCACTAAACAGCACTTCAGCACTATACCAGGAGGCATTTCAAACAGCAGAGCTACCAACAGAAATGCATAACGTGGCACTGAATAGATCGCAAAAAGGGACATTGTTTACCGTCTAAAAGCTGAAATCAGACAGTGTCACCTTGTTCAGACTCAGCTGGGAATGTTGGTGTCAGGCAACTCAAATATTTTAGCACTAGGCCTAGCACAGTGGCTCATGCCTATAATCTTAGCATTGTGGGAGGTGGAGGTAGGTAGATTGCTTGAGCTTAGGAGTTCGAGACCAGCCTGAGCAAGAGTGAGACCCCCATCTCTACCTAAATTAGAAAAACTAGCCAGGCATGGTGGTGGGCACCTGTAGTTCCAGCTATTTGGGAGGCTGAGTCAAGAGGATCACTTGAGCCCAAGAGTTTGAGGTTGGTGTGAGCTATGTTGTTGCCACAGGGTGACAGTAAGACTCCGAAAAGAAAAATTACATATAAGTATAATATATAATATGTATACAGATATATATTAAATAATATATATCTGTATACAGATATTTTTAGTGCTCTGAACATGTCCAAAAATGGCCACAGAAATTCCACAAGTAGTGGCTTGAGATTACTAATAAATTTTAGCAAGTTAGGTGAATTCACAAATACAGAATCCACAAAGGAAGAGAACCAGGCATCCTTCCTAAGTTCCTGGTTGATGCATGTGCCTTTCAGCAGCTCTCCCTCCACGCAGCACATCCCCCACAGCTCTCTGGGGGTCATCTACAGATACCCCCTTCATGAAGGCTCCTCTCTTTGTCAGCAGTCTTCAGTTACCCTCTCTTGGCTACTTGTGCTGGGGCCCTAGGAAAAGGGGCCTTAGTTAACCCAGCTATCACACAGTTAAAATAAATACTAACCTCTCTATCTCTCTATCGTTAGGGAGATTTTAAGCAGTAGAGACTTGTTCCAAGGGAGAATATTGGAAGAATTCACTCCCAGGAAAATGATCAGGCAATGAGAAAAGATCTACAAATACTGACAATTAGGATTCTTCCGCCCTCCCACTCCCAGACAGAGTCTTATTCTGTGGCTCTGGGTAGAGTGACATTATAGCTCATAGCAACCTCCAGCTCTTGGCCTCAAGCAATCCTCTTGTCTTAGCCTCCTGAGTAGCTGGGACTACAGGTGCCTACAGCAACGTTCAGCTATACACACACACACACACACACACACACACACACACATATATATTTTTAGAGGTCTCACTCTAGCTCCGGCTGGTCAACTTCTTTTTTTTTTTTTTGAGACAGAGCCTCAAGCTATCCCCCTGGGTAGAGTGCTGTAGCATCACAGCTCACAGCAACCTCCAACTCTTGGGCTTAAGCGAGTCTCCTGCCTCAGCCTCCCAAGTAGCTGGGACCACAGGCGCCTGCCACAACACCCGGCTATTTTTTTGGTTGCAGCCATCATTGTTGTTTTGGCAGGCGGGCTGGATTTGAACCTGCCACCTTAGGTGTATGTGGCCGGCACCTTAGCCACTTGAGCCGCAGGTGCCGAGCCTGGTCAACTTCTGAGCACAAGCAGTCCACCCTCCTCGCCTCCCAGAGTACTAGATTACAGGTGTGAGCCACCGAACTCAGCCAAATTAGGATTCTTTAAGCAAATGTCCAGGTCCCTACCTTCACGTCAACGTCCATTCAGTGATTTGGTGTCTTACTGGTGTGTGTGTGTGTGCATGCTAACAAACAGAGGATAAATAAGGAAACAGAAGACGGAACATCATAAACCAATTAGATCTAATAGTCACAGAACACTGAACCCAGCAACAATGTACACATTCTCTCAAGGGAACATGGCAGCATTGTCCAGGGTAGACCATATGTTAGGGTGAAAAGTCTCAATAGGTTTAAGGGATAGATACACAAAGTATCTTCCCCGACTGCACTGGGGTGAAGGTAGAAATCAATAACAGAAGGAAAACTGGAAATTTCACAAATGTGAAGAAATTAAGCAATATACTTTTTTTGTTTTTTTTTGACACAGAGTCTCACTCTGTTGCCCCATCTTAGAGTGTCATGGCATAAGCCAGTCTCACAGAAGCCTCAAACTCTTGGGCTCAAGCAATCTGCCTGCCTCAGCCTCCCAAATAGCTGGGACTAAAGGCATGCGCCACAGCACCGGGTAATTTTTCTATTTTTAGTGGAGATGGGGGTCTCACTCTTGCTCAGACTGGTCTTGAACTCCTGAGCCCAAAGGATCTTCCCATGTTGGCCTCCCAGAGGTTTAGGATTACAGACATGAGTCATTGCAGTTGGCCAAGGGATATGCTCTTAAACAATCAATGAGTCAAAGAAAGCATGCTGCTGCCTGTACTAGAAGTTCATTCCTTGTTAAGGCTAATGCCACGGCACCCTACCAAGGTGACAAAGAGACTCTGTCTCAAAAAAAATTAGTGTTCTTGGCTGGGCGTAGTGGCTCATGCCTGTAATCCTAGTACTGTGGGACGCTGAGGCAAGTGGATTGCTTGAACTTGCGAGTTCTAAACCAGCTTGAACAAGAGCGAGACCCCATCTCTAAAAAAACAGCCAGGTCTTGTGGCAGGTGCCTGTAGTCCCAACTACTTGGGAAGCTGAGACAAGAGAATCACTTTTTTTTTTTTTTTTTTTTTGCCAGGGCTAGGTTTGAACCCACCACCTCTAGTATATGGGGCCAGCGTCCTATTCCTTTGAGCCACAAGTGCCACCCCACAATGGTGCCACCCCTCAAACCCAAGAGTTTGAGGTTGCTGTGAGTTAAGATGCCAGGGTGTGAGCTACCAGGCCTGGCCATGAGCAGAGATTAATTTTTTTATTTTTTGCAGTTTGGGGCTTGAACCTGCCACCCCGGTACCTGAAGCCAGTGTCCCACTCCTTGAGCCGCAGGCACCACCCTTTTTTTTGAGCAGAGATTTCTTAATCTGCATCTTCTGGGAAAAGTCTTTAGCTTTCATCAAATTCTCCAAGAGGGCCTATCACCCAACAAAGTAACAAGAAATCCCCAACCCAAGGGATAGGTTTGGAATATCAAGACATAGTTTGTAAGTCCGGCCCACAAGTAAGCAGTTGGCTGGAAGATTTGGCAAGAAGAGCAAACCTTTCTGCTAAAGTAAGACCTTGATGGGTGGCGCCCAAGCTCAGTGTTTAGGGTGCCGGCCGCATGCTCTGGGGCTGGTGGGTTCAAACTCGGCCTGGGCCTACGAAACAAACAAACAAAAAATAGCCAGGCTTTGTGGTGGGTGCCTATAGTCCCAGCTAATCAGGAGGCTGAGGCAAGAGAATCACTTAAGCCCAAGAGTTTGAGGTTGCTGTGAGCTGTGACGGCACAGCACTCCACTCAGGGCGACAAAGTAAGACTGTCTCAAAAATAAATAAGGGCGGCGCCTGCGACTCAAAGGAGTAGGGCAGTGGCCCCATATGCCGGAGGTGGCGGGTTCAAACCCAGCCCCAGCCAAAAACTGCAAAAAAAGAAAACCAAAAAAACCAAATAAATAAAAAATAAAGTAAGACCTTGAGAACAGCTGAGAGGAGCTTGCAGCTTGCAGCTTTGCCAAAGGACCATCAAGAAAGGGGCCCAAGACTTCCTCTCCCACAATAGGCATGGATGAGAGAGTCAACAGAAAAGACAGCAAAGGCACTCTGGATTCTAAGTTATGAAGTGGCAAGGAGTTAACATACAAAATCAGTAGAGGCCAGAACTAAGTTCCTCTCAGGTGGAGAGGTGAGGGAAGGACATGAACTAGAAACCCTCAGAGCCACGCAAGCCAAGCCAATCGAGCACTAAAAAATAGAACATAGGCTGGGCATAGTGGCTAACACTTGCAATTCTAACACCCTTGGAGGCCAAGGTCGGGGATTGCTCTAAGCAGTCTAAGCAGCATAGTGAGAGCCACTCTCTACAAAAAATAGAAAAATTAGCTGGGCATGGTGGCAGGCATCTGTAATCCCAGCTACTCAGGAGGCTGAGGCAAGCAGGAAAATGACTTGAACCCAGGAGTATGAGGTTACAGTGAGCTAAGATGATTCTACTCTGGCATAGCAAAGCCCTATCTCAAAAAAATAAAAAATAAGGCCAGGCCTGGTGGCTCAAACCTGTAATCTCAGCACTCTGGGAAGGCCCAGGTGGGTAGATGGCTTGAGCTCAGATCAAGACCAGCTTGAGCAAGAGCGAGACCTTGTCTCTAAAAACAATAAATTAAAATAAATAAAATAAAAATATTAGCCAGTAATCCCAGCACTCTGGAGGCCAAGGCTGGTGGAATGCCTGAGCTCAAAGGTTCTAGATCAGCCTGAGCCAAAGCAAGACCTCATCTCTAAACATAGCTGGGCATTGTGGCGGGTGCCTTTAGTCCCAACTACTTGGGAAGCTGAGGCATGTTGATCACTTGAACCCAAGAGTTTGAGGTTGCTGTGAGCTATGACACCACTGCACTCTACTGAGTGAGATTCTGTCTCAAAAAAAAAAAAAATTGGCTCGGCACCT